CGGGTGCAGGCCACGAGTGGCCGCCAGGCCTTCAGCGAGCTGCGGCGCTGAATGCGCGACGGACACGCGAGACTCGGGCGCCTCCCTGAAGACGCCAAGGCGAGCGCTCCCTCCCCGGGCGGCTCGGCAAAAGGCCCAGGAACAGCTGGACCGCGCTACAGCGACTGGGGACCGTCAGCACCCACCCGTCAGCAGCCTCCCGAGTGACAGCTTGGGAGCAACAGAAGCGGAAATGCCTTCAAGCCAGAGCGTGCCACAGCTGGGGGACCCGGAGTTCACGCTAACAAGCAGAAAATGCGGGCTCCTAACAATTTAATGAGACGCAAATGACTTGTTATGGTAAACTACTGGAGAAAAAAGTAGAACACACTAGTGTCTAGAAATAACCTTCGGCGCCATCTGTAGTACGTACATCCCGATTTGTCCCCCACTTCAACCCGTGGCCACTGCACTGGGCACTCCTGACAAGTAACCATGTGCCGAAATTAATGGCAGCATGCCCAGCCTCGCTTTCTCCACTCCTCCCAGCACTCACTGCAGTCAAGATAAAAATCTCATTACTCTGGTTTGCACGCATCTCCGCCTTGTCTAGTCACCAGCCTTCCAACACTTGCATAACAAGCAAAATTTAAAGGAAAAAGGGGGAAAGGAAAAAAGACTCCTAGCAGTTAAATCTGAAATCGGTTACCCTTGTTGTAATATGAACGTAATGATATAAACGGTTCCATTGTAGCATTTTCATCTACAACCTACGGTTATCTTTACGATATAAACTATAACAAGAAATTTTTAAAAAATGAAATATAAATGGCAGTGCATATAGAACTTCCCTGAATTATTTTAGTGAGTACTCTTAAGAATTTGAAAGGGTTTTTACCATCATTTTACAGTTGCATGCTGCCAGCAAATAAACATTTTAAGATAAAATTTCAAGCTCACCAAGAGTATTAGACATTATATCTGATATAATATTTGAGTTTGATACTATATCCTCAAACTGAGTCAGTCACTTCCCAGAAGCCGCCTTTTAAAAAGGAGGGACTCTGCCTAGATTAGCACTAAATATCTTTGGTCCCCCCAATTCCTTGATTCTATGGGTATTGAGTCCATACAGTCACTAGATAAATATGGCGCCCAGTTTGCTATCATTGAATGATAGCAAATATATGAGTTAAATTAATTTTCGGGGAGGGGGCAAAGCCCCTCTTCCAGTATACCAGCCTGGAAACCACCTAAATTGAAAAGTAAGGGCATACAAATTAGTACTTTTTAAATACTTGTGAACCATGAAAATAAATTCTTATTGTACATAGTTTTTATTCTAACTGAAACCTCCTCTCCTCTCCACCATTAAACTGTCATGCTCAAGGGCTTTATATGGGGCCTATATTATTATTAAATTGTTTTCATGGCTCTATAAAAATTTCATCTTCCTTAATGTTTGCAACAAGTGACTCATTGGCCACTCGTCTACTACACTTTGGTTTTTAATAACTTTTTAGAAAACACTTATGCGTACAGTAAAGGCCCAACAAATATTCTCGGACCCAAATCTGGAGGCACTACTCAAGCCCGTTAGAAAGCAGGTTATGCCAGAGATAAAGGTATAGCCTTAGCAGAGGTTCCTTACCCAGACAAGCAGCGCTACCAAACTAATTTGAGTCAATTCGCAGGTCTGCACTTAAGATTTCTTCTGGAAATCAAGTTATTTGAACAGGAGCCAAAAGAACCTTACGATCCCTTGTAATACAGGCACACACTGAGCAAAAAGAGCCCCTTTTGTGCTCAAGAGGGGGCAGCAAGCCGGGGGCGCGCCTTAGGACACTTGGCCAAGGAGTAAGGCAGAGCTTTAAAACGTGCGAGCAGATCACCAGTGGGAAAGGGAAGGCACGGCCCACGACCAGACTGCGGCTCACACACCGGCTTTTCTAGCGCTTCGCCTTACTCAGCACCTAGGGCCGGAGAGATGCTCAAAGCCAAAAATGTCCCGAGGCCCTTCATCCCGGAGCACGGCTCGGGCTCAGGGCTCCACGTTTTCCGTGGAAACTCCATTACGGAAGAGACTTCTAGAGCATTCTGTTATGGCGGGTGCATGTGAATGCGGGGGGAGAGGCGGCGGGGGGGTGAGTGGAACCGAGGTGGCCCAGCAAAAGGAAGACTAGTACTACCAGGCTGGGACGCCGGGTGGGGATTCCGAGCCACCTGCGCAGGGAGGTCAGGCTCCGCCTAATGGTGTCCCAGACCCAGGCCGGGGCGGCGACTGCCCCGCGAGGGCCGGGAGGTTCGCGCGCCCTACCTGGGCCCTGAGGCCGACGAAGTTGCACGGCTCCACCTCCACGTCCTCGGGGCCCCCACGGAGTGCGCTGCGGAGCCTCTCCAGGTGCTCCCTCAGGGTGACCCGCTGGTGGAAGGAGAACGCCGGATGCAGCGAAGCCATGGTGAACAGCAGCAGCAATTCCTCCTGGGCCCTGAAGCCCAGCCCATCGCCGGCCCGGGACTCGGCGCCGCTGCCTTCCGGGCCGGAGCCGTCTTTCTCGGTGTCCTCCTCGCCCACCCCGTCCGAGCCGTGCTCGCCGGGCTCGTCCTCCACGCCGCCCCGCGAGCCCTCGCCCCGGGCCGCGCGTAGGCTTTTGAGCACCGAGTCCACCTGGGGCAGGAGGCGGTGCAGGCGGCCGGCGGCCTCACGGTTCTCCGAGCCCAGCAGCGCCAGGTAGACGATGAGCCGCGAGCGCACGGCGGGCTCTCGGAAGTCGGCCAGGGGCCCCGGGTCCGAGAGGCCGTTGGCCTTGGCCTCCGAGTCGCGCAGGCAGTGGTAGTCCTTGCGCGCCAGGTCCTCCAGGCACGAGCCTAAGAAGCGCAGCTCCAGCGGGTTGCACAGGTCCAGCAGCCCGCACATGAACTCCAAGCGCTGCGCCGAGTCCAGCACCAGCCCGAACCACTCGTACACCCGTTCCTGCTGGCGCAGCGCGGCCGCGGGTCCGCCGCCGCCCG